AAAGTGTGGGACAAATCGAAAAAGCAACAAAATATGGAAAAGTAAATTAACTCACGAGAGTTTGTCTGCTATTAACCACTTTCTCTTGCGAAGAAACAATCGAATTAATAATTGCTTACTCTCATCTAAAAAAACAGAGTTACTCTGGAACTTCGTAATCGATAAACTTAGAGAATGAAAAAGAGAAAAGAGAATTCACATATACTTCAACTGGTAAAAATTACCTGATAGCGCAATAAATTTTTCTAGCAAATGCAAATGTTCGCCCCAGAACTGTACTTCACCATATTGACCTCCATTACAAAAAACCTACAAAGATTTTACTCGTAAAATTAAAATGGAAATAATCAAGTATTTTCTTTTTTTTCGCAAATATCCTATATTAACCATAACTAGGAAAATTAAGAAAGAAAAACGAAAGCTCTCAAGTATCTATAAAATTCAACGCCGCGACGCAGTCGCTATTATTGATAAATCAAACTATACTGAATCAAGTTCTATTTTCAACTATGCCGAAAATTTTGATTCTAGAAATTCCAACAAAAGAAAAAATCCTTAGAAATTCGAAAACAGAACGAACCCGTTTCATTATTTTATGGAATAATGTAAGGTAATATGGTGAACCGACATGTGTACCTTCATTCGTAGCATCTTGGTGATATGATAGGATCTGAGTATTTCTTACAAGACTGCAATCACAAACGTCAAGATAAGACTTAATATTGCTCAAGATATCAAACAAGCTTTGCTCCGCTTCCATTTCAATTTCCACTTTAATTTCACGACTGGTCGTGGCTTTGCAGTAAAAAAAATTCCTGAAAGACAAAGCCTATTAACTTCATATAGTTCAAATTTTCAATGCTAATCATTGTATTACGCAATGGAGGAAAAAAAATTTTTTTTTCTTTGAAATATAAGTTGAAATGTAGGAAAAATGGAACAATGCTTGCTATTTTTCTAAAATGTATTCCTTATCAAGGAAACAAAATGTGATGGTAGAAATACAAGGACTTGAACGGAAAAGCTTTCACCTGTTCTTCAAATAGTTCTTTTCATTTTGGTTATCCTCTAATTTTTCAGTTTCAGAACACTTCTTCATTGCTGCTGAAGTGACTGTTTTGCTTGTTCGTGAAATTTCACTTGCGTTTTCTTCTAATATCGGGAGATGCGAATCAATTTTCTGAACAACCTCCATCGTTTTTGCCGATTCAGAGGGAAAAATCTAAATTACCGACAAATATTCACTTCGTTCACTAAATAAAGATTCACTTATTACTGCACCATGCAATGCAGCTTCTAGTTGTGATTACTTACGCCTACACGCAGTCCTTTCTAAAAAAGATTTAAATGCTAACTATCAAATTTATCCCTTTCATTCATCAATAATAACCTTGATTTCATCAATAATAACCTTAATCTTTTTCGTTCGCTTCCTTGCAAAACTGCAAGATGTTTTGCTTGGCATTTCGCCTCTTATTTTCTCCTTCACAGCAATTTCACCCATTTGCTTCTGTTCGTTCGCATTAGTTAAAGCATCGTCATCGTTGACAATATTCGGACTGAGACTCTCTGTATCCTTGCTTTTCGAATCTAATTCTTGTGCTACCTTCTCATAGTCTAGATCGTTGAACAAATCATCACTGCTGTTTGAACTAATAAAACTCTCAGTTGCTTCTCGTTTCCTATCCTTAGCACAGATTTCAGCAATGATCTAAAATTTAATATAAAAATTCAAATTTTTACAGAGATTAAACAAATAATACAACTGAAATCATCAAAAACACTTGAAGTTTCCATTTAACCACCTTAAATAATAGTATAGAGAAAATCGTCGCAATTGATAATTAACTTTCCATAACTTTCAATTATTCATAAATTCTAAGCCACATATGACGTATAAATCTTATTAAGTAATTTATAGGTTACAAGTAATAGGTGATAGATGGAACGAACCCGGGAAATAATAAAAAGATGATGCTTATATGGTATGAATATCACGAAGTGGGATTCATTTTTAGGTCTAGAAGTAATATTAGTGGAAAATAAAAAATGATAAACAATTTTCAAGGATCAGTAAATAACGCTTGGAAAATAAACCAAAACAGCAGCTCTTATTCTATCGACAGACAAAAATTACAAACATTTAAATTCTAATCGTTAATTTTCTTCTCCTTACCTTCAAATTTTTTAGAAAAAAAGAAAAAAAGATTTTCTTCTTATCTTCAAATCTTTCCGCTTTACACTCATAAAAATTTATCGCTGTAATCAGTAAATAATACGATAAAACTTGAATATTACTCGAAAAACGGCAAAATTTCATGAAAAACTTTGATAACATACTTGGCAATCATCATCGTCAGGTTGTAACTTGCAGTGATTTAAATGTGATCGATACAATCCCCGTGTAACGAGATGTCCACATATGGGACATGGCTTCTTTTCTGATTGTTTTTCAAATGCTTTTAGAAGAGCCATTTCGATGAGAAACCATATCATAGGATGATATTCATTATGATCAGAAATTCTAAAAAAATGAATTTCATTATCATCGGAAATATCTGCAAAAAAAAAAAAGAAAAAAAAGGAAAGAAGCATTTCGCTCCTATTATAACAATTATGGGGAAAAAGATTCGAATTCTGTTCGAAAGCAGAAAAAGAAAAAAAAATTTAAAAGAGGTTTTCATCAGCGTAATCGTGATCGGAAACGAAATGATTCAATTTTTTTTGATAAAAAAAAAAAGAAAATCAATGATCAAATATGTCTGAGCAGGAATTAATGATCAAATATGTTTGGATAGGAATTAATGATCAAATATGTTTGAATAGGAATTAATAATCAAATATGCTTGAATAGGAATTAATGATCAAATATGCTTGAATAGGAATTAATGAACAAATATGCTTGAATAGGAATGAAACGTTAGACAGTTAACTTTATCCTTAAATTACTTACTTATAACAATCATTTATACTTGAACAAACACAAAAACAAACCTCCCTTCTTTCTTTCTCTAATAAAGTCATACTCTCAATCACTATTTCAATCACATATCACGAATCCCTCCATTACTCTCTCAATCTATCATGCTATTATCATTCATCATTGCTCATCAATTCTGTTCTCTCTTCAATATGTTCGAAATTTTTCTTTACTCTCAATTACCGCATCTTCATTTACTAGAATGTCTCACTAAGCAGTATTGATCCTA